TATATATATATATATATATATATATATATATATATATAGGGAGCGGTTCCAATGATAACACCCCTTATTGTGAGAAGTGAGAACAAATCTTAACCATACATCTTAGTACATTAAGGGACAAAAAAGGATGAGATGCACGGATGTATGGTGGGAGTGCAAACATTAAATAAATACTCTTGCATTCTCTAATCCATGCGTAGGTTGATTGAAGGACAGTAAAGTAATTTTGAAAATTCCTTAAATGTGGTAACGTTGGAGGTTAATCACTAACCAAAAAAATAGCAAGATATAAAAGGTCAAATCAAATAAAATGTTTTAGTTTAAAAATTGATTTAACTTTTTGAATTATAATCTGATTTTAACAAAAATTATATCAAATTATGTAATTTTTTATTATCTTTCATATGACATCAATATGTCATATGTTTTTTTTAAATACGTATAATATGTATATAATTAATCACAACAAACATCTTCTGCTACCGCATGCACAAGAATATGTATATGACACACAACCACTACTATCTAATGAACAAGAACTTGAATCTAACACACATTACGTATAATAAGAAACACATTTACCAATGTGAGATACACCTTTTATGGCTATCGCCTGATTTAAAAAAAATTATATCAAATTAAATAATTTTTTCATGATCTTTCATATGACACAAATATGACATATATAAGTTTGTTTTAAAAAGATAAGTATAATATGTGTACAATAAATTACAACAAACATTTTCAGGTACCGCATTCACAAGAATATGTATCTCACACACCAGCATCAATATCTAATGCACATGAACGATTATCTAACACACAACATGTATAAGAAAAACTAAAATGAGTATCTTAAGCACAAAATCCAATATCTAATGCACAAAGAACAGTATACGGCACACAACAATTAAAAATTAATTAATATCTAACGCATAAGAATTTCACACAACTTAAACTAATATATAACACATAAGAATCAATATCTAATGCACAATACGAATACAAACTCAAGAACCAATACCTAACATATACTTGTAATATATACATACATAATCATAGTAAGTATTTACCGCACAAGAATCATTATTTAACAAACAACAACAAATATTTAAAACACATGGACCGACTATCTTACTATTAGCTAGGATATAACACACTACAATTGCTATTTGATGCAAAATAAATGAATAGAAAATAAATTACAATTTAGTGAAGAAGAATGTGACCGAAGGACAACTTGAATAAAAAGGAATGATATTTTTTAAAAAGCATGTAAAAAGTCCTCTAAAAGTAAAAGTTAATTCCGTGAGTATGTTATTTGATTTTAAAAAATGCAAAACGTTCTCCAATGATATTTGATATTATATGGAATATAAAGCTTTCAATAATTGAAAAGTCAATTCTGGGTGAGTGCATTAATTGGTTTTAGTCGGTTACCATAACTGCTTAGGAATAAAATACGTAAATAGCCTTCACCTAATTTAAGTTGAGCGCAGATCGGTCCTCTAAATAAATGGTCGTGATGTGTTCTCACGTTCTCACGTTAAGACTCATTCTCATTTGAACCAAAATCTCTCTCTCTCTCTCTCTATATATATATATATATATTAAAGATCAAATGAGAACAAGGTTTAACGTGAGAACGTGAGAACACCACATTAACCCCGATGTGATGCACAATGAGATTTGCCTAATGTACTTGTTCACGTTCAGCATAATATTTACCAAAATGCCACCGGTATTATTTATACTGGCTTGTTTGGAGCAAAGTCAAAATGTGCATCAAACGGGCTCCATTGTGTATCACATTAGATTAACCGTGTGCGTTCTCACGTTCTCACGTTAAGCATCGTTCTCATTGAATCACGCTATATATATATATATATATATATATATATATATATATATATATAGGGAAGAGATCAAATAAAAAGAGGTTCTCCCGTGCAAAGTGCGAACAATTGCACTTTTTCTTCACCGCGTTGCACTTTTGCGTGATTCTGTTGCACTTTTTCGCGATGGCAAAAAACTTCGTTTTAATTACGAAATTGCCACCGCGTTTTTTATCAAATTTAGTTCACTTTTGGCTCATTTTGAGCCATTAGATCTCAAAATGAACGCACGAGATTAATTCTCACTTTGCATGGGAAGACCTCTTTGTATTTGAACTCTCCCCTATATATATATATATATATATATATATATATATATATATATATATATATATATATATATATAGGGAGCGGTTCCGGTAAGAACGGGCTCGCAGGAGAGAAATAAGAACGAATCTGGACCGTTGAATTGTATTATGTGGAACTGAACTGTGCATTTGGTAAAACTGAAATGTGCATCAGATGATATTTAAATGTGCAGAATAAAAATTTAAACTCAAGTGTGCATGAGGTGAAACTGAAATGTGAGGAATAAAAGATACAAACATAACATCACATCGTACCTTTTATTCTGCATATTTCAGTTTCACCTAGTGCACATTTCAATTTCACTTAATGCACAATTCAACTTCACATAATGCCACTGTGTCGTACCACTTGTGCTGCACATTTCAATTTCACCTAATGCACATTACAGATTTATCTGATGCACATTGAATTTCACTTAAAGCAAATCTAACAGTCCAGATTCATTCTCATTTCTCTCCTAAGATCATGTTCTTATTTGAACCAAAACCTATATATATATATATATATATATATATATATATATATATATATATATATATATATATATATATGGGTGAGATCACATACTAACCATGCTTAATTTACTAACCTACAAACTCAATAATATGCACCACTTTGAACTTCAATATGCAGTACAATTAATGTAAATATGCACTCTTTGAACTTCAATATGCAATACAAATAATGTAAATATGAAACTGCTATTTTATGGCTTGAATAATATGAAACACTTTAAACTTCAATGTGCAATAAACATAATGTGAAGATGATTTGAATGGGAGGACTAGTTTGTATGTGATCCCACCCCTGCATGTTTACATTATTTGTACTGCATATTGAAGTTCAAAGTGATGCATATTATTGAGTTTGTAGGTTAGTATTTTAAGCATGGTTTGTATTTGATCTCTTATCTAATTGAATGGCCAAGATGGGTTTGTAGTTTGTAATTTAAAGAAGATTTAATATATATATATATATATATATATATATATATAAAATCTTCTTTAAATTACAAACTACAAACCCATCTTGGCCATTCAATTAGTTGATCTAAACGCTATAAAGGTACAATGTCATTTTTGTCATAAACGCCAACTTTTTTTAGGATGCAACTCTTTGAACGTTAATATGCAATTGCTATTTTATAGGTTAATAGTATGCAATACTTTGAACTTCAATATGCAATACATATAATGTAAAGATGCATCGTACAAACATTTTCACAATTAAGCATAGTTTGTACATGATTCGCCCCCTATATTATGTGTGTGAATGTGATGATAGTTTGGAACATATTAAACAAATGAATCAAAACTCTATGGTATTTTATAAATTGAGTTGAAAGTACCACCCAACATCCAAAGACTCCATCAAATCCGATAAGTCTTGGACTCCAACTTGGAATATTGAATTCGTTATACGTAGGGGTGTAAACGAGTTGAGGCGAGTTCGATCATAAGTATGCTTGAGCTTGAACTTGATAAGAATTCACGAGTTTGACCTCGATCTCGAGCTTGGACGAGCTAAATAATTCGGGCTCGAACTCGAGCCGAGCTCTGCTCGAGCTGGATTCAATCTTGTGTAGTGTTTTACTAATTAACTTTTATAGGTTTGAGCTCGAATAGGATGCTCGAACTTGAGCTCAAATTCGAGTTAAAAATACAAATTTCTATTTTCCAAATTGTTTTTTTAACCTGGTGTTTAACCAAAAACCCGAAAGTTTTTGGGGTGAAGACCAGAGAACACCTCACCTATTTATTAGAGTTACAAGAAAATACACGGAGTAAGAGGGCCAATCCAAAACCTACTCTGAAAATTACAAAACATATTACATTTATACATACAAAAAAACTAAATAATACAGAGTATATTTTTGTACTTGACCGTTCACATTTTTCACTTCATTTCTCCTTCATTGACATGTATTCCTTATTATATTAAAGATTATAATTATTACACATTATGATTATGATAATAAGTATTCTTATATTTATAATTATGACTATAACAATATACTCCGTACGTATTAAGTATGAGAATTGGAATAGTTCTAAATTAGATCACGTATTTTAAATATAACACATATATAATTATATATAAAATACGTAGTATGTAAAACACACACAAAGGCTCGCGAACCGGCTCGCGAGTCACGAGCATAAAATAAATAGGCTTGAATTGAGCTTATTAAATACTCGAGCCGAGCCGAACTCAAGCCAAACTTGAATTAATCGAACTCCGAGTCGAGTTTTTCTTGAGCGATCTACGAGCAGCTCGCGAACGGCTTGACTCATTTGCACTCCTACTTATTCATAGTATAATGTACGGAGTATTTGATATGCTATAAGTTAAATTGACCGTGTGAGTTTTTTGGCAAATGTGAGCTTTTTTATATAGCGCTTCCTTAATTATTTGACAGTGTAATATCACATGAACATAAATGAAGATGAGGGGATTTCATAGAAAGCGTTTTCCCCGTCCCATTAAGATTGTTCAATTTTTCCTTTTCGAGAAATCCCATGAAGATTGTCTCGTATCAAAATAGGTAAAGTTTGTGTGATTCTAAATCAACCACATAAACTCACTTTTCCTAAAAACCGTGTCACTCATCATGTGTCAATAGTGGCTAAAAGTACCATTAACTTGACATAGTAAGACTTCTAGAATCACCATTCATCACAAGCTTATCAAAACAAAATTTTCAGACTTGACTGATAAGTGGACACTCATGATAGAAATTGAATTATTTCAAGGAAAAAATGAGTATATATAGATAGGAGTACAAGGAAAAGTAACCTTAGCAAGATTGACATAGAAGAAGAGGGGTTTCTTTGTGTTGGACACTTGAATCCTATTCTTCTTTTGGGATTCAGTTGCTGGCAGGGGTGCCACCGCTTCCATTGTCATCTTTGTAAATTGTTTTGCCAAAAGGGGGGAAATTTAGTTTTTGATATTCTTTTAATGTTGGACTTTTTAAGTTTTCACTTTGCCTCTGAAGAAGAAGATGGAAATTGGTAAGATATACTTGAGAGAAAATGTAGCAAGTCTTAAGCCCTTTAATACAATGATACTGAAGGTATTTATTGTCCTTCATGCAGGCCACAAAACATTGAGAACCAAACGTATGTGTGTTTTGACCTAGTAAACATCCATTGATTTTAAAGAAAAAACAATGGCTACGCACGCGCATAAATATAAGCCACTGGCTTTCCTTTGTATCCGGGACACTGTAATTATTTGGATCAACATTTTTATTACTCAGGGTTATACGTTACACTTCTGATTTTTTGCCTTGACAAGACAAAAAGGACACAATCAAATTTGTAATAGGGCAATAATTAGAATTAATTATTAGTTAGTTTCCTTATTTTATTTGGACACTTATTTCATATAAATATACTCTCAGGACTATCAGTCTGGTTAAGCCTGTTTATTATTGGTATCAAGAGCTTAGGTCTTTAACCTATTTTTTCCCTATGGCCGCCGAACACCCCACTACCGCGCCGCTCACGGTGGCAGCATCGCACACCACCACCGCGCCGCCCCTCACGGTTGCGGTTTCATCCGTTACGATGACGGCAGCCTATTCTACATCTTCCGCACCGGCTTCTCTCAGTTTTGGCGAAACTTCAGCAGTTTTGCAGCCTTCGTTCGTAGCGCCACTCCCGATGAGCAGCTCACCCCTTAATTCGAATACATGGGTGCCGCCGGTTTTTGACTGGTCTTCTCCAGACGAAAGTGGGGCCGCAAATTTCTGTCCCTGCCTCGCCCTCGCGCCTCCAAATTTGCGGCCCCACTTTCGTCGGTGCACAGGGCGTCGCGCCGCCAACACCCACTCGAGCGCCTCGTCGGCCAGCAGCAGCCCCGGTCTCCTCCTTGGAGGCTATTGCACAAGCTATGGGTTTTTCTACTCCCAATGTTACTCATATTGTTACCACAAAGCTTGATGGTGTTGAAGATTATCTTCCTTGGCGTACACAATTAGAGTCATTCCTGGTCTCACATGGCTTAATGGGTATTCTTGATTGTACGATCACCGCTCCTTCTCAATATATTTTTGATAATCTTCGTCGAGAGGTTGTGAACAACGAGTATTATTATTGGTTAAAGCTAGATCAAACAGTTCGTTCTTGGCTGTTTGCTACTTTATCTCGTGATATACTTGTTAAGGTTCACACTCTCCAAACTTCTGCTACTACTTGGGATCGTTTGGAGTCTCGATTTAAGGCTGCTAGTATGGCTCGTTCAATGGAATTAAAACGAATGTTTTCCGCTTCCAAAACGAAATAAAATCAGTCCATTGAACAATACATGCGTGAAATTCAAAAAATTGCGGATGCCCTAGCCACAATTAATTTCCCGGTGTTTATGAAAGATCTACTTGAACAAACTCTTTTGGGACTTGGTCCGGATTATGAGTCCATCATTACTACCTTGACTACTTTTCCTGAGGGTCTCACTTTTGACAAATTATGGACCAAGCTCATGGAGCAAGAGAACCGCCTAAGCTACCTTCGTGCTCAAGACACAACGCCCCAACATGCTACGTTTGCTACCCATCCCGCGGCTCAGGCAGCGGCACCAGCACCTGGGGGAGATCCTCGCGGCGAAAATTCATATAATCGCGACCGAAGTCGCCGCGGTGGACGAGGACGGGGACAGCGAGGTCGCGGTCGCAGATATGGACAACAGCAGCAACCGTACGATGCTCAAGGTTACGGCCAGCAGGGGGCCTACCACCAGCCACGGCCCGGACAGCCTCGGGCAGGGTATTTTCAGCAGGGTTATTACCCGGGTTCGCCAGCTTCTACACGACCAGGTTCAGTTATATGTAATACGGTTTTTTCATCGTTATATACGCATCCCTATTTTGTTGCTGGTACTAACCATGGTTATGCAGACTCACCTTTAGTTGATGGACAGTTTGGTTTCATTCCCCCGTCGGTTGTTTGTCAAATTTATTATTCTCCAGGTCATTCCGCAGTTTCATGTCCGTCCCATTTTAATCAGTCTACTGCTTCAACACTTGTTGCACCCATGGGTGACCCAAATCACGATGTCTGGTTTCCAGACTCCGGTGCTTCTGTGCATATGACCCCTCAGGAAGGTAACTTAGTTAATAAGTCTATTTATTTCGGACCACTTAATGTTACAGTTGCGAATGGCACTACTTTATCCATTAAAAATATTGGTGATATGTCTATTAATTCTCTTTCAAGGCCTCTCAATTTAAAATCTGTTTATCATGTTCCACAAATTAAATATAATTTATTATCCATTCAAAGATTGTGTTCTGACAATAATTGCATGGTTATTTTTGACAATAATTCTGTTTTGCTAAAGGACAAAACCACGGGGGCAATCCTTCTTCAAGCTTCCAGTAGCGGCAATCTCTATCCCATTTGTTTGTCTTCTTCCCCGGTTCTGGCTCTTGCTTCTAGCGTGGCGAATGGACCTATGTGGCATCGCCGTCTGGGACACTGTGGTAGTAAAGTTTTAGATGTTCTTAGAAAATCTGGTCAAATTTGTAGTGTGTCCTTTAATCATGATTGTTCTTCGTGTCGATTGGGCAAATCTCAGAGATTACCCTTTCAAGATGTTTTTCATTACGCTAGTAAACCGTTATTTTTAATGCATTCAGATGTGTGGCAATCTCCAGTTTTATCTTCTTCTGGTTTCAAGTATGCGGTCATTTTTTAGTAATAATGGAATTCTTTTTCGCAAATCGTGTCCTTACACACCGCAACAAAATGGTTTAGCTGAACGAAAGCATCGTCATATACTTGAATTGGCTAGAACCATGCTTATTGATGCTGGCCTGCCAGCCAGTTTTTGGGTTGAGGCTATTTTGACTGCTACTTATATTATCAATCGTTTACCTTCCACTAAATTCACTAGTTTTTCTCCATATCAAAAATTATTTCACCGGACCCCTGACTTCTCTTTTATGCGTGTGTTTGGTTGAGCCTGTTATCCAAATTTTCCTGCCACTTCCGCAAATAAGCTATCTCCTCGTTCTATTCCGTGTGTGTTTCTAGGGTATGCGTCTGAATATAAAGGATATCGTTGTTTGGACCCGAGAGCTGGTAGAATTTATATTAGGCGCAATGTTAGGTTTCATGAAAATATTTTTCCATACTCCCAGTTAGTGTCTCCTCTTTCCTCGCATCGTTTTCCCGGTCTTCTTCTGAGTCTTCCGCTGCTACTGGCTCGCCTATGACCCCGGTGGATTTTTCCTTGGATTTGTGTTTACCATCACCGCCATCTAGCTCACCGCCGGCAGAACACACGACACTCCAGCCGCCTGTTTCTCCGGTGTCCTCCACTACGGACATCCATTCTGGTCGCAGTTCTCCGGGTCCTGATTCTCCAGCTACTTCTGGTTCGTTGGATTCGGTAGCCTCGGCCGGTGGGGTGGTGGCTGATGATCCGAGTTGTGGTAAGTCTCTACATGAAAATATACATCCCATGCAAACACGTTCTAAATCAGGAATTTTTAAACCCAAAACTATTTTTAATCTAAACACTGCGGTTTTGGTTCCTGATCCAACTTGTTTTTCTATGGCTAATAAAAATATTAAATGGAGAGAGGCTACGACTGAGAAATTTAATGCACTTATTGCTAATAAAACGTGGGATCTAGTACCGTTTGACTCTAGCAAAAACTTGGTTGGGTCTAAATGGATTTATAAAACTAAATATCGGTCTGATGGTTCTATTGAACGTCATAAAACACGCCTGGTTGCCCAAGGGTTTAAACAGCAAGCTGGGGTGGATTTCTCTGAAACCTTTAGTCCTGTTGTTAAACCCACGACTGTTTGCATTGTTCTTACATTAGCTGTTTCTTTTAAATGGCCTATTCGTCAGTTAGATGTTAAAAATGCATTTCTTCATGGTCATCTCACACAAGAGGTTTACATGCGTCAACCACCCGGGTTTGTTCATCCTCAATTTCCTAATCATATTTGTCGCTTGCACAAGGCACTTATGGTCTCAAACAGGCTCCCCGGGCATGGTTTCATCGTTTCAATAGTTTTCTTCTCACTCATGGATTTGTTTGTAGTCGTGCTGATAATTCCTTGTTTATTTTTTGTTAGGCTACACGTATCATTTATTTTGCTCTTATATGTGGATGACATTATTATTACTGGCAGTTCCTCTACTCTTATTAGTACTTTTATTTCTCTTCTAGGAAAATATTTTGCTATGAAAGATTTAGGGGATATTCATTTTTTCTTGGGGGTTCAGGCTGTGCACAATTCTTCTGGTTTATTTTTGTCTCAAGCCAAATATGTGTCAGATCTTCTCACTCGTTTTCATCTTCATACACTTAAATCTGTTCGCACGCCTTTATCGACTAGAACCAAGCTATCTCTCATTGATGGTGAGTTACTCGTTGTTCACTTGGTATCTCAATTTATGCATGCTCCCCGTACCTCACATATGTTGGCTGTTAAGAGAATTTTCAGGTACCTACAGGGCACTAAAACACATGGTTTACATCTTCAACCGTCGCCACTCCCACACACGGTTATGGCCTACTCTGATGCAGATTGGGCTGGTTGTCCTGACAGCAGTCGTTCCACGTCTGGATATGCTGTTTTTCTTGGTCCTAATTTGATTTCCTGGCGGTCCAAGAAACAACCTACTGTCTCCCGCTCATCTACTGAGGCTGAGTATAGAGCCATTGCATACACACTTCAGGATACATTACACATTCGGTCCATCTTGTTTGAGCTCGGCTTTTCTCTTTCTCGTCCGGTTCGCTTGTTATGTGATAATGTATCTGCTTCATATTTATCTGCAAATCCCATTCAGCATGCTCGCAGTAAGCACATTGACATTGATTATCATTTTGTTCGCGAACGAGTGGCTCATGGAGATCTCCTGATGCAGTATGTTCCTACGAAGTTTCAGCTGGCTGACATCTTCACCAAGAGTTTGGCTCCTCAGCAGTTTTTATTTTTACGAGACAATCTACGTGTAGTTCCTTCTGCATAGATTGAGGGGGTGTAATAGTGCAATAATTAGAATTAATTATTAGT